AATTGATAATATAATAAATACGTCCGTATCATGTAACCAGAACTTCTACAAATGGCAGCGCAGTATACTGGTCACGTGATACAAACGTAGACATGTGATAGTCTAAATTTAAATGGTCATGGGTGGCTTTTCCGATTCACAAGGATTCCCTTTGGACCATATATCTAAGTAGAAACGAAGACATCGTCGTTTTTCTATCTTAAAACGTGTTGAATTATTACAAGTTATTGCATTATCTCTGCATAGCAGAAATCCGCAAATCACTTTTAAAGAGAAACTACGATTCAAAAATAAATAAAAAATAAGTTATTCTCGATCTGCAGACTAAGATTTACAGGGTTGTTAATCGAACATCTACCATATACTAGAATATTGAAAGGTTAAATAGACGAAAGAGTATAAGATTTGTTTATATTCTCTTGTGACGTATTAGAACAGCTCTAGAACTGGTTTTATAATAAATAAACAACATTTATTAAACTACAGTTTCTGTATCCCAGGAAAAATACCGTCGAGTCTTGTTTACAATATTTGTTTTTGTTTACAATAAAACTAGTTTTCTAGTTTTATTCTCTCATTGGGTTAAGATATTATTTATCTGTGTTCACAGTTAATGGAGGTAGACATCACTCGCTCCGCGTGTTTTTAAAATAGAAAGTTTATTGTTTCATGCGTAAAAAAGTTTTCCTTGTTGAAAACTTTCTTCGTGAGTTGTCAACTAATTAGGAAGCTGATAGTATCCCTCTAACGGTGAGAATTGGCATTAAAGTCTAATTATATGGTTACAGTTATAAGCAAGTTCTGTTCTGAATCCAAAACCGCTGTATTCTTTTTCTCGCCGATCTTGGTATTGTTCGTGGATTTCTATTGAATCCTGCGCTGTGATTGGATCATAATATTTAAAGCCGAGACCTCTTATTGGGGGAAATTCCGCCGAATTCCAATGGCGGCAAATGGAGGTTTTGTGAGAAGTATAATTTTGTTGGAATAAAACACCAAACCTCTCCTAAATACTTAGATTTTTGTACATGAATTAATTCACCATACTTTCATCCTACATCTTTGTTCTTTAACATTTTTATTTCTATTTTTATCTTTTTATCTTTTGATTCCGAAAATATTATCAAATTTCAAAAGCTTTTTGAGATAATTGAGATCATTTCAGGTTTCAGGTTTATAGATTAGGAATGATACGTACTTCTCTTTGGGTTCTAGGATTACATTAGGATACTTTTCTAGGTTCCAGGATTACATTATAGGATACTTTTAAGGTTTGAAGTTTACATTAGGTTTACATTAAGGTTTTAGAATAACATTGCACACCGGTACTATTTTGCATTTATTTGCAACCAGTACAAGGAAACTTGTCTAGTCTTTAGTTGTACCAGCCCGTCTAGTTTACCCTAGTTGACCCAACGCGTTTTCTGCATGCTACAAACGTGAATGATCCAGTAATTAGGAAACCTTTAAAAAAAGTTTCAGCTATCAAATTTTACAAAAGTAAATTGGTTTCAGATTTACATTAAGATACTTTTTGATCATGATACTTTCAGATACTTTCAGATACTTTCAGATACTTTCAGATACTTTCAGATACTTTCAGATACTTTCAGATACTTTCAGATACTTTCAGATACTTTAAGATTTTCTAAAAGTGTTTGCTTTTTCTTGAGATAATTTTGAAAAGTTGTTTAATTCGTTGAATCTCCAAAATTGAAAGAATTAAAGACCTAAAGTAGGCATTAGAATCATAAAATATAAAATATGACTGAACCCATGAAAATATATATCTTTGAGGTGTTAATTTCATTGGTTTTAAACAATAAACTTTTTATGACCTAGCTCTCAGATATATCATAATGGTTTGGTTTAAGAATTCCTACCCGTGGAGTTAAACCACCAATCAAATGTTTAGGTGCAATACATCCTCAAGCAATATTGACTTTAGTTCCCTCTAGTGGATATTAACAGAACTAAACGTTAGAAAGATACTTCTTAAATTATCTAAATTTTATATAAACATGAAACGTTCAACTTCTCTACGGCAAAATCTACCAATGAGATTGGAAAAATGGAAAGTAACAGACCAAAAGCAGCACTTAAATGAAACTACTTCAAGATTCAAAATTTTAACATTTCAATCCTAACAAATGACCCCCCCCCCCTCTTCCTTTATTAAATCAAATCTTGTTGCGTCGTTTTCAGAGAAAATGTTAAATCGCAGTTTCTATTTTCAATATTAATTTTCTTTAATAAGATCCTTTTAACAGAGAGGTGGTCTTAAAATGCAAACTTGTCACTACAATTGCATTTTTGAGGCGGCAAACAGGCTCGTTAAAACTTCAAATTCACACGTTTCATAGGATTGTCCGCAAAAATATATAGTGACATTTCCCATTTCAAATTAAATGCATCCTCCATGCATTTATTTTGAAATGAGCAAAGGCATTGAGTTTTCCCTGTATCTTTGCAACCCACTTAGAAGATCTTGATATTTTAAACTATGAATTCTGTTAGATCAAATAATCTAAGTATGAAATTTTAAAGATTTACACTAGTAGGTTGCTAAGATATAGGGATTAGAAAATTTGAGTTTGTGACCAAGAATCAATTTCTTTTAGCAGTTATTTTTATTTGCAAAAGTTGTTTTACCCCTTTCCGATTTCACATAATAGTTTTAAACAAATTTTGCTAAAAAACATCTTTTTTTATGCATAGGGTAGGGGGTTGAGGACGGTAAAACGGCAGGTCGGTGTTTCAAAAAAATCAGAAATGGGTAATAACTTTTTAATGAATTAAGCTACAGGGCTAAGAGTTTTATACTTGAAAAGCCCTTAAAAATTGTTACAAGAACATGTGTTATATGTTAATATTTGTTAAAAGTAAGAATAACTATTTTTTTAAATTTTATGACATACTTTTCCAACTTTTTAAAAATTTTATGACATACTTTTCCAACTTTTTAAAAATTTTATGACATACTTTTCCAACTTTTTAAAAATCCTCCCTTGCACCCTAACCAGAAAAGTTAGAGGTCTAATTCTTTTTTACTGAGGAGGCCTTGAACAGTTGGACAAGGGACATACCCTCCCCATCTCAACTCTAAGGGCAAAATCATAAGGGGGGATGATGGAAAACACCCCCCCCCCCATCTATATTAGACAAAATAGCCCAGTCGGGATAGGGTTAAGGGTTTATTTCTACATTTGTATAGCCTTGTAATTATAAACGGAGATTGTTTTTTATATTTGTTTAAAGGTTATTTTAGTCGAACGTAAATGTAGATTTAGAAAAGAGATTGGAACTTATGAATGAACGAAAATGATTTAAATCGGTTGGAGTTATAATTTTACCAAGAGGTCTTTTCCTTAATCTTGACTTAAGAGTTTATGCGAATGGGAAATATGAGAATAGAACAATTTCGTGAACTGGTTCGATTCAAACTAATTTTAAATATTTAATTCTGTTCAAAAGTTTGAAAGCTTAGTGTGAATTCTATCATGTTGCTTCATAATTCATAATACTGTCCCTCATATATTTTTTTCTGTCCAAATTGCGTACTTTAAGCTGGAGTAATTGGTTTAAATGGTTTTAAGTTAGAAAATCACGCAACTTCGCCAACAATATTTTCAAATAAGAAAATTAGAAAAATGATATTTTTAAATTCGTTTATCAAAATCTAATACTTGTTATATAAGGTAACAAATTAAATAGAAACCTGTTTGTTATCCAATGTCCGATCATAACTCTTGAACCAAACAATTACAAGCGTTTCTGTAAATAAGCAAGGAAAATTTCGACATCCTTGTTCCGGTTTAGGTGTAAAGGGTACGGTTGAGAATTGGACACTTTTACAAATGGAGGGTAACTTGGTAAAAACGGCTTAGTCCCTTTAAACATTTAAGTTTTTATCATCATCTACAGTGGTTGGCGATAATACCAATATAAGGAACACGACTTTCGATATAAATTTTTATTTATAATTAAGCTTTTAAATAGCAAAGATACCCAAAGCATGGAAACAAAGAAAATATTTCAATTAAAAAAAGCTTCTCATTAATTGCTTGTAATTCGAAAAAAGCTCGTTAACAATTAAAACTTCAATAAAAGTAGTCTTCGTAATATCGCCAGTAATACCACTGTATATTGTACAATGTACACAAGTGACAAAATCCGAGATTTAAAATTCGGTGATGGTGATGGACCAAACCTCTGTAGAGTAAAAAAAAGAGTTCCACATAAAATATAATCATCAAAATCCATAAACAAAAAAAAATTTTAAGTGCAATTTGACAAAAGTGAAAAAAAAGCTAATTTGCAAATATTCACTTTTTTAAAATTATTACTCCTTGAGATAGAAACGTCTGGAAGATTAAAAACAAACTGTTTATATATGTATGTGTATAAAGTGGTGGTGGGGGTCGATCTAATTAACGAATTTTTACGTAAATCGGAGGGAGGGAGAGCGGATTGTTTAAGGAGGGGTATTTAAACCTTTTAAAGAATTGGACATATAAACTTTTTTTTTTAAATACTGAATTACAGTTTACCGAGATCAGAGATCCGAGAAATATATTAGATCAAAAAAGTATTGCTCAATAAGCAATTTGGTTTTATTACATAATTCCGAATTTACTTGTACAAAAGATGAAAAGGAAAAAAGGAAAAACTATTAATTAAATCGTTTTGCTTCTCCCAAGAGTAAAAAAATTCCATCTTTAGGCAAGCAATACAACATCTTGTGGAATTTTCCTGATCATAGATTTATATTAAACCTTAAATCTAGTCAGTAAAAAGCGGTATTTAAGTTGTCATCATCAAGTTTTAAAAAAATTTTATAGATCTGAAAATTTCCTCTAAGCCTTTAAGAAAATTCAGTCACAGCCGCTGCAAATTTAAAATCTTTTGATACAATTTTTTGAAAATCTAAAAAACAATCCTTTCAATCCTGAACAAAAATAGAAAACGCCGCACTCTAACATAAACTAATCGGACTTGAATCTAGATAATACAAGAATTTATTCCTAAAATGCTAAAATATCAAGTTTATCAGTTAAACGTATAAAAATCACAAAGTTACGGATATTAATTCCAATTTTTTTTTACTACAGTCCTCCCCTAAGACGACCGAACAGCTGAGAGCTATCTCGAGAACCGAACGTGGACCTTGAGACATCGCTGGGTCCGGAATTTGAGCCAGAAACCCTCGAGTTTGCGTCTGGAGCTCTCAGATTGGAGTCAATTGACCTTGAATTTACGTAAACAGGCCTCGAATTTACGTCAACAGGACTCGAATTTATGTCAACAGGACTCGAATTGGTGCCCGAAGCCCTTGGTCCGTCCCTGAAGGATTTTGAATAGTTATCCTCGAATGTCTCTGCTGTATTCGAAGGAGTAAATCTTGAAGAACCTTTGGAGTCTGTCCTGTCTGAGTTATCCGACCTAGCGGAGTCAATATTGATATCCTGGCTATCCAAGCTTCCCTTTCTGAAAAATAGATTTTTAAAATCATTAAAGTAAAAGTTAAAAGTCAAACGAAAATAAAAATGTCTCCATAAGATGTATGACAAAGTTGATTTAGAAAAGATAAATCATTTAATTATAATTTCTTTCGACGATTTGTCTGCCGATGTATTTGATAAAAATGTGGAAGACAGTCGTTTTCCTAGCTTAAAAAAAATCAAATTTTCTCTCGATGATTCTGAAGCAAAAATGCGCAATTCACCTTGCGGAGAACCAACCATTGAAAATAATAATATTTAAAAAGAATAAATGTGATATTTTAATTTTCTTGGTCAGACAAAGCTTTCAAGGATACCATTGTTACAATCCACTCTATAAATAGGGTCAGAGGAAATTACGACTAGAGTCTTTTTCGGGAAACTCGAAAAAAGTAGGTAAATAAAACCCATCCATACCTAAGTCCAAACTTCTCCTCAAGTTCAGCTCTGATCTCCGCCTCTATCTTACTTCTCTCCTCCTACAATATATATTTTGTTTACAATGTGGATCTAAGTTCAGTCACGTGACTCTGTATGCAAAGATGGCAATGTCCGATTCATAAAGGTACCTGTCACTTTGTCGGGTCAAGTCTGAATTTCATAATTTTGAAAACGGTAATTTTCAATTGCAGGTTCTCTACAGAAGTAACTTATTTGAAAAATCAAAATTGAACACTTTTCAAACCAGACATCAATATCTTCAAAAGGTTTCAGGAGGGTACCATTGTGAATCAGTAATAGTCATCTTTGCATGGAAGGTCACTTGGAAATTAAGCTTACAGCCCCCTGAACGCTTTTCAGCTTTTGCCTCAAAATTATTATTTGGACATTTTATCCAGTTCGTCCAGAAACTATTTACTTGATTAATTTTATCCAGTTCATCCAGAGCTTATTTATATTAGTAATTTTATCCAGTTCGTTCAGAGCTTATTTACCTTAGTAATTTTATCCAGTTCGTTCAGAGCTTATTTACCTTAGTAATTTTATCCAGTTAGTTAAGAGCTTATTTACCTTAGTAATTTTATCCAGTTAGTTCAGAGCTTATTTACCGTAGTAATGTTATCCATTTCGTCCAGAGCTTATTTACCTTAGTAATTTTATCCAGTTCGTCTTGTGGATAATATCCTTCACAACCAGGGACATTGCTGGGTTTATCACACAACCCTGATACTGGGTTAAATACCTAGAGAAACATAACATCAAAACTACCGGAAATATGACCATATTCATTCCGATTTAAGACAATTATATTTTTACTTGAGGAAGCAAATCTTTTAAAAAAAATAAGAGTTTGTAATCTATAGTTCATTTATACTTAAGATTACAACGACAGTCCCTTTCATCGGCCTTATTGTACCTTCGGGCGTTCACATCCCAGAAGCCTGGGTTGACCGGAGGAGAGACAAGCGTAGAAATACGCGCAGTCAGAGGGATGAGGTAGACGCTCATGATCACCAAACCTTAAAAATGTAGATCTTTTTAAAAAGGATCACCCCCCCTCCCCCTACCCCACCCAGCATCAAATGCATAATAAGTTTTTTACCAGAAGAACTAAAGAACTAATAAAACTAATAGAACTATGAGCCAATTTTAATTGATTATTTTACATTTTTTTAATGTTAACTTACCTCATGTTTCCAGAAAATTTTGGACATTTGAATCCAAATACTTCCGTAGCAGTACACCCTTCCCTAAACATAAACATTGCAGTGCACCCTTCCCTAAACATAAACATTGCAATACACCCTTCCCTAAACGTTAACATTTCAGTACACCCTTCCCTAAACATAAACATTTCAGTACACCCTTCCCTAAACATGGACACTGCAGTACACCCTCCAATAAACATCAGAATTGCAGTACACTCTTCCCTTAACATAAACACTGCAGTACACCCTTCCCTAAACATAAATATTGCAGTAAACCCTTCCCTAAATATAAACATTGCAGTACACCCTTCCCTAAACATAGACATTGCATTACACCCTTCTCAAAACATAAACATTTTACTACACCCTTCCCTAAACATAAATACAGCAGTACACCCTTCCCTAAACATAAACATTGAAGTAAACCCTTCCCTAAACAAACATTTCCGTACACTCTTCCCTGAACATAAACATTTTAGTACACCCTTCCAAAAACATGAACATTGCAGTACACCCTTCCATAAACATAAAACATTTGAGTACACCCTTCCCTAAACATAAACATTGCAGTACACCCTTCCCTAAACATAAACATTGCAGTACACCCTTCCCTAAACAACAAAATTGCAGTACACCCTTCCCTAAACATAAACATTGCAGTACACCCTTCGATAAACATAAAACATTTCAGTAGTCTTCCCTAAACATAAACACTGCAGTACACCCTTCCCTAAACATAAACATTGCAGTACACCCTTCCCTAAACATGAACATTGCAGTAAACCCTCCAATAAACATAAACATTGCAGTAAACCCTCACTTAAACATAAACATTGCAGTACACCCTTCCCTAAACATAAATATTGCAGTAAACCCTTCCCTAAACATAAACATTGCAGTACACCCTTCGCTAAACATAAACATTGCAGTACACCCTTCCCTAAACAAAACATTGCAGTACACCCTTCGCTTAACATAAACATTGCAGTACACCCTTCCCTTAACATAAACATTGCAGTTCACTCTTCCCTAAACATAAACATTGCAGCTCACCCTTCCCTAAACATAAACATTGCATTAACCCCTTCCCTAAACAAACATTGCAGTACACCCTTCCCTAAACATAAATATTGCAGTACACCCTTCGATAAACATAAACATTTCAGTACACTCTTCCCTAAACATGAACACTGCAGTGCACCCTTCCCTAAACATAAACATTGCAGTACTCCCTTCCCTAAACATAAACATTGCAGTACACCCTTCCCTAAACATAAACATAGCAGTAAACCCTTCGCTAAACATAAACATATCAGTACACCCTTCCCTAAACATAAACATTGCAGTACACCCTTCCCTAAGCATAAACATTGCAGTACACCCTTCGCTAAACATAAACATTGCAGTACACTCTTAATAAACACACACTGCAGTATACCCTTCCCTAAACATAAATATTGCAGTAAACCCTTCGCTAAACATAAAAATTGCAGTACACTCTTCCCTAAACATAAACACTGCAGTACACCCTTCCCTAAACAACAACATTGCAGTACACCCTTCCCTAAACATAAACATTGCAGTACACCCTTCCCTAAACATAAACATTGCAGTACACCCTTCGATAAACATAAACATTTCAGTACTCTTCCCTAAACATAAACACTGCAGTACACCCTTCCCTAAACATAAACATTGCAGTACACCCTTCCCTAAACATAAACATAGCAATAAACCCTTCCCTAAACATAAACATAGCAGTACACCCTTCCCTAAACATAAACATTGCAGTACACCCTACTCTAAGCATAAACATTGCATTACACCCTTCGCTAAACATAAACATTGCAGTACACTCTTAATAAACACACACTGCAGTATACCCTTCCCTAAACATAAACATTGCAGTACACCCTTCCCTAAACATAAACATTGCAGTAAACCCTTCCCTTAAAAAAATAAATATTGGAGTAAATCCTTCCCTAAACATAAACATTGCAGTACACTTTTCCCTAAACATAAATATTGCAGTACACCCTTCCCTAAACATAAACATTGCAGTAAACCCTTCCCTTAACATAAATATTGGAGTGAACCCTTCCCTTAACATAAACATTGCAGTACACTCTTCCCTAACATAAAAATTTCAGTACATCCTTCCAAAAACATGAACATTGCAGTACACCCTTCGCTAAACCTAACCATTGCAGTACACTCTTCCCTAAACATTAACACTGCAGTACAACCTTCGCTAAACATAAACATTGCAGTACACCCTTCCCTAAACATAAACATTGCAGTACACCCTTCCCTAAACAACAACATTGCAGTACACACTTCGATAAACATAAACATTTCAGTACTCTTCCCTAAACATAAACACTGCAGTACACCCTTCCCTAAACATAAACATTTCAGTACACCCTTCCCTAAACATAAACATAGCAGTACACCCTTCCCTAAACATAAACATTGCAGTACACCCTTCCCTAAGCATAAACATTGCAGTACACCCTTCGCTAAACATAAACATTGCAGTACACTCTTAATAAACACACATTGCAGTATACCCTTCCCTAAACATAAACATTGCAGTACACCCTTCCCTAAACATAAACATTGCAGTACACCCTTCCCTAAACATAAACATTGCAGAACACCCTTCCCTTAACATAAATATTGCAGTAAATCCTTCTCTAAACAGAAACATTGCAGTACACTCTTCCCTAAACATAAATATTGCAGTACACCCTGCCCTAAACATAAACATTGCAGTAAACCCTTCCCTTAACATAAACATTGCAGTACACTCTTCCCGAACATAAAAATTGCAGTACACCCTTCCAAAAACATGAACATTGCAGTACACCCTTCCATAAACATAAAACATTTGAGTACACCCTTCCCTAAACATAAACATTGCAGTACACCCTTTGCTAAATATAATCTTGCAGTACACCATTCCCTAAACAAACACTGCAGTACACTCTTCCCTAAACATAATCATTGCAGTACACCCTTCCCTAAACATAAATATTGCAGTACACCCTTCCCTAAAGACAAACATTGCAGTACACACTTCCCTAAACATAAATATTGCAGTACACCCTTCCCTAAACACAAACATTGCAGTACACACTTCCCTAAACATAAACATTGCAGTACACCCTTCCCTAAACATAAACATTGCAGTACACTCTTCCCTAAACATAAAAATTGCAGTACACCCTTCCAAAAACATGAACATTGCAGTACACCCTTCCCTAAACATAAAAATTGCAGTACACCCGTCCAAAAACATAGACATTGAAGTATACCCTTCCAGATCTGCAGTAAATCCTTCCCTAAACAAATATTACAGTACACCCTTCTCAAAACATACTTTACTAAGCTTGATCATTGAACAAATTTCCATACTGAATAGTTAAATCACTTTGTATTACACTTCTATTAATTAGAGATGGAAACTTATAATTGTATGAATTAAAACCCTTTTTCTGCTCTTTGGAAATAAACCTTTCCCTCAAATCTTCGAGGATTTAGTCTGGAGATTAAATGAAAGTTCCACGCACAAAGGTCAAAACATTTGCATGTGAACCTTTCCACGAGTTGAGCCGACCCCCCCCCCCCTGGCTATTTAATCTTAGTTTTCTTATCTGTTAGGAGATTTACAGTATATTCCTGTAATTAAACTTAAATCCTACAATTAAAAGTTTACGCATTGAATATCGAGTTAAGTCGATGTGACGAATTTGGCTCTTCCCAATCAAAAGTTGAAGAATCAAGACTATTGAAACCTAAAGAATTATCATCACCTTTTAGTTTGATCAGGATGGACACAACCCAATATCTCGTCAAAAACTGCTCCGAATCCACAGCTCTGCTGGAAAGGTCGTCCTTCCCTAAGATGTAATTTGTGCATATATAAAGTTGTAATCTCTGCTTGTTTGTTTGTCCGATCATAACTCACGAACCCCTTGACCGGTTTGCTTAAAATTTTGACAAGGGAACTCGGGGAACCCACTGAAATGTTCTTAGCTTGGTTTTGAGATTCTAAGTTTTGTGGGTTTACTTTTAAAGCGAAAATTTAGTTTCCCGGTAATTTGACCAAGTGCGGGTAAACAGTAGAAGTAACTATGAGAATAAGTAACCTGAGCAGCGCCGGTTTCCCAAGGCAGTTGGAATGGGAAAGCGTGGTTTCAATAATATTTTGATAATGAGCATGACATTTACTGGATTACTCTAGATATTACAACATTAAAAAACTAAGACAGCGAAACGGAGATAAAAATAGTGATATAAAGATACAAAGATTAGAATAAAGGGTGATACAGGAACTATGACAGAGAATAAGTGTACGACATTAATTATTAAAATCAAGAAGTAATGTGTACAGACAAAATGAACCAAGACAAGACCAAGACAAGGTAAAGACAAGACAAAGAACTGACAATGACAAGGCAAAGACAAGACAAAGAACGGACAAAGACAAGGCAAAGACAAGACAAAGAACTGACAAATACAAGGCAAAGACAAGACAAAGAACTGACAAATACAAGGCAAAGACGAGACGAAGAGAAAGCCAAGACAAGGCGAAAACACAAGAGTCAAATTCTCAGACGATAAGAATGCATGTACTTACAGAGAAACAATCACACAGACACTGAGACAGAGAAACAAAACAGACGCTAAAAAAAGACACTAACAGATAAGACACATGGACGCTATGACACCTGAGACACGAAGATCTAAGAAAATGAGATAAGACACAGAAATAAAGAAACGGAGATAAAAAACATGAAGACTTGAAATTAAGAAAAAAAAACATAAAAAAGACAAATTAATCAATATAAATAGTAACCTGCAGTCCACATAATCACTGCAGCTAATATCTGCTGAGATAGCGAAATTACCATTCAAGCGTGGACACAGGCCTACTCCAGTAGGCGCCTACAGTAAAGGAACTCTTTTCAGAAGAATTGTAAGGAAAATGTATTTTATCTTTTAAAGCTTTAAGGCCAAAAACATAACCAGAACAGTTTCAAAACCCTTTAAAAACATAACCAGAATAGTTTCAAAACCCTTTAAAAACATAACCAGAACAGTTTTAAAACCCTTTAAAAATCTATGCTTTATACCAGGTATCAATAACCCAATATTTTTAGAAGATGTAAGCTTATTTAAGTTGACATTGTCTGAGATCTCCTGTCATTAAAACCATTGCTTTTTCTTAAATTAAGAAAAATGAGTTAAATTCATTCCGTTCTTTGAAAACGAAATGATAAAATCAAAATTCTGAAATCTGAATACATACCTGTTGTTTTTCACGTCCTGTGCAGTTAACTTTAGATATAAGATCACATTTACCATTGTTCAGATCCAATCCTAAACATACCGATTTTAGAAAAGGTCTTGAAATCTGGCGGATATCTTTCCTTTTAATGGCCTGAAATTTCTTTTTCTTTAAATCTTCAGTGCCCTTCCCCCCCCCCCTGTATAATTGTCCATTTTCTCATTTTTAGATGTATCTGATGTATTTTATGTACTCACCATATCCATCTGTACATAGCTGTATTATTCGTTTCCCTCGTGGCGTACATTCAGCAAATCTAAAAATATAGAAGTACAGCTGGGGGGTATTTATTATAATATAATTAACTCTAATTTGATAAAACAAATCAGTTACATATCAGTCCACTGTAAAAATTTTTATATTTAGTATAAAATCAGAAAACTCATTTATGGCTCCCCCCCCCCCCCTCCCCACAAAAAAAAAACATTTAACATATTTGAAGAAAAATCTCTTTCAAGATTGTTAAAACATTTTAATTCACGACAAAAATCTGTTGAAACATTGTATTTTCCCATTCCCATATAATAATTCCAGTAGGTATTTTTTTAACAACCTTTGAACTTCTTTTCTGGATGCTTAAAATTTCACCTGTCGCACTGGACTGGATCAGGCACTAGATATCCGTCCTCAGACTCCTCACATACTACCTGTACATGGATACAGTTCATCCTTATACCTGGAGATATAGTTCATCTATATACCTGGAGATATAAAATCAAATTGTATATTTAGCTATAAATTAAAAATGCAAAAAAGGATATTCATAATCAATTACATCAGTTGATTATAGTTTATGGTTGGGAGACGGAACTAGCCGAAATCGTTTTCAGTCGGTCTCCCGTATATTCAGTCTTTTATTCAAATATTTAACTTGAATAGTTTCACAAAAAATATATTTAGAAAGGTTGGAGTTCCTGGCAGAGATATAGTTCATCCTCAAACCTGGAGATAAGCTAATTCCTGAACCTGTACACAGATATAGTTTATACTTAAACGTGGTGATGAGCTATCTCCGGCCTGCACGTGTAATGGTACACGGATATAGTTTATCTTTATACCTAGAGATAAGCTAGCTCCTGTATTGTACACGGATATAGTTTATCTTTATGAGATAAGCAAATTCCTGAACCTATACACAGATACAGTTTATCCTTATACCTGGAGATAAGCTAATTCCTGAACCTGTAGACATGTATATTTTATCCTATACCTGGAGATAAGCTAACTCCTGTACTTCAAATTGTACACGGATATAGTTTATCTTTATACCTGGAGATAAGCTAATTTCTGAACCAAAACACAGGTATAGTTTATCATTATACCTGGAGATAAGCTAATTTCTGAACCTATACACAGATATAGTTAATCATTATACCTGGAGATAAGCTAATTTCTGAACTTGGACAGATAGAGTTTATCATAATACTTGAAGCTATTTAATTCCTAAACCTATACAGATAAAGTTTATCCTTATGCTTGGATTTTAGCATTACAATAAACAATCAATTAAAAAAGTGAATAAATTAAGAAAATTAGTATCTCACCCCCCAGCCCCACCCCAAACTTCCAACACCCTGACAAAAAGTTGTCCAGGCGCCACCTGCCTATCCTGAACACTACCCTACTGTAGTTTGCACCTGGAGCAGAAGATCCTTGTCTCCTGAAACCCTAGCAGAGAAGAGAGGTATAAGGAGAAGGATTAGATTCATAATTAATCACTTTATCGCACTTAATCGAGCACTTACTCACTTCAACCTTAGATGTACACTGATTAAAATGTCCGCCTCAGACTGGTCACCGGTCAGTGTACAAAAACCGGTTTCCAAGTTAAAAGTTTACATTGGTACAAGAATACGTGTATTTTTAACTGCAGTACGAGGTCCAAGGTGATTCAAAACACTAAGTTTCAATTAAATAATGTGTACTGCAGTTTATGGGAGGAATATAAACAAAGCTTTGACTGGACAGCATTGAGTGTGTTTATGTTCCTCCCAGAAACTGCAGCACGCTTTGTTTTATGGACTAGTTCCTCTTATATTCCTTGGGAGCTATACATGAGTTTACTCAAGGATTTAATGAAAGGAAAGTTATTTCAGAGGTGTACGCATCTTTTGTACTTAGGTGTACTGTCACTGGGCGGTAATGTTAGCACAAGACGGATGTCGAAGCCTGACATGGGATCCATCTTTCACATAAACAATCAATGAAATATTCTGGTTATAGGAAACTATTATGTGAATTATCAAAATTATCAAAATTCAATGCTTTTAACCTCCTCGGATACTAAACGAACACTGGGGCATCTATCCTTGTTTACAAATTCCGCGCAGATAGAACTGGTTTCAATATGTACGAAGAGCATACGCAACTGCAATTAACTTTCCTTGCAAATTACATTCTTGAGTTTACTAGTGTACTACAATGATTTTTTGATTCGTCATTGTAATCTTGGGTTTTTTTTATGTCTTAAATCTATGTCACCCTAACTAAAGTGAGCTTTCGGTGAATACAAAGACGATAAAGAAGTCGACAATTCAGACCAATGTTTTTTGAGACATCCTGTATTTTGTATTTTCCTGCAGTATATAGAACTCTAGTCCTGTATTTTTTCATAAATATAATCATATACATTTGTTTACAAATAGGTGTACGCAGTTTTGAGGGTAATATAAACAAAACTTGGTTTCCTTCAGATACTGCAGTACACATATAAGGGGTGTCTAAAAAAGGGGGAATAAGGGACCACAGACTCGTTTGTGATCTGATTTTCAAGATTGAAACAATTTTCAAAATCTCCGTACAATTTACGATTCAATGAGCCCAATTTTAGGTTGTAGATCTAAAAATGACGTACGTAGGTATCAAAAATGGTCTCAATCTTGAAAATCAGATTACAAACAAGTCTGTAGACCCTTATAAAAAACTGTGCAACAAATTATCTTTGGAAACTTTGGGAGCCTATAAAATTGTCATTTTTAGATCTACAAGCATAAAATTGGGCTCATTGAATCGGAAATTGTACGTAGATTTAAAAATTGGTCTCAAGCTTGATCCAATCAAAAACGCAGTCAGCAGTGGACCGTTATTCCCCGTTTTTTTGAGAAACCCTGTATATGTAAACAGGGGATGTTCTTAGTGTATTTTCTTTGGATTTATTTATCTCTTGATTTTTAAGATGTTACAAATGACGACTTCTGAAACGTGTTTATTTTATAAGTCATTTTAAATTTTCATTCAGTGATTGTAGAATTCCACTCATAAAGTCAAAACAGCTCACATAGAAAAACTAGAATAACCCTGTATGTGTTGAATAAATTCAGCTAGCAAAGCCATGGGGAAAAATATTTTGAAAAAAGTTTGTGAAATAAAAAAAAAACAAGAAATAAAGTCTAAAATTAATGTAGGTCCTCAGTTTCGGCAGTACACAATTCTATGACTTTTTCCTTTTTTGGTTAAAAAATTAGGAATTTTTGAAATTACTTTTTGATTGTGAGTTGTGACTTAAATTAATATTACCGTGCTGTTGGTCGTATTTCTAAGATTTACAAAGATACAAAAAATATTTTTACTTTAATTTATTTAATTTAAGTAAATTTACCGTAATACCTAATAACTCGATCAATTTGATGTCAATAATTGTTTGAAAAATGTATAAAATCTACGTAATTTTTGAAAATAAGAAGAAGAATTGGAGTACTCATTATTTTGATTATTTTAAAAGACTCTGCATTTATCAACCATAAAAAATGGAAAGGTTTGATTGAAACACTTTATGCCAGGAAAACTATTATCTTCTTCTATCTTACGGATCTTATTTAAAACTCGTATCAGCAGAATGAGGGGAGGAAGGCCAGCCACAACAATTTCTCGTCCGAAGCACATTCTTCTCATTTTCTCGTCCGAGCCACCTCTGAATCCTCAACCTTCGATTATTTTGTGTACAAAGTTTCCAATTCTTGAAGGTAAAACTATTTTTTAAAAATCTGGCCACGTTAGGGCATAAAATATGGATGGACTAAAGTATTGCAATGATTATATCATGTTGGAATCTTCAAACCCATGAGCATGATGTCAAACTTTATTTAGGTAAAACTTAAATCTCTTCTGCCTCCGTAATGGTTAACCTTTGTGATATAAAATAAATAGCAAAATATTCGGCATACCTCTGCCTATAATTTTCCCCATAGAACCCCCCGGAAAAATTCTATGGTTTTCACTATAGTTAACAAAAAAGATTGAAGTTCTATAAACTTGGAATTATTTGCGGCATTCTACACCAGAAATATCTGAAAATGCGCGTAATAAAGGTGAATAATTAAACTTGAAATCTTTAATTCAATTGAAACTTTTTTTTTCGATTTACAAAAACTTGATATTTCATTTATGCCCTAACGTGGCTTGATTCTTAAAAAATTGTTTTATCTGGAAGGATTAGACACTTAAAAAAAATAATATTGAAAGGACGAGGATTTCGAGGTGGCTCGGACGAGAAAATGAGGAGAATGTGACTCGGACGAGAAATTGTTGTGGTTGGTCTTCCTCCCCTAGCAGAATTGAATTTGTTTACATTCAAAATTATTAAAGATTACTTGGGAACCCAGCTTTGCCTGAAAGCAAAACTTTCGCTAGCATTTTCCTACCAAGCTATGAACATTCCCGTGTTTCTACCGAGCTCGCCAATCAATAATGGAGGAAAATCGGACACGGGGTTCCTAAGTTATGATCGGACATACAAACCAGCTAGCAGACAGAAAAACAAACAGAGATAAGTCAGTTCCTGTCATATTCCCTGATTCCTTATTCAAGTTTAAGAAATACATAATGTCCATGAAGTATCGGAATAAGGAAGATACATCGGGAACTTTATGTGTTTGCTCACACAAAGTGTACTGCTTGTTCTGTGACGACTCTAAACAAACTTAGTGGTCCACGGAGTAATGTTTGTTTATATTCCCCCCGGGAAACTGCTAGTGCTGTACACTTGTTTTAAAACATGCAAAAAGGGGTTTCTTGTGAATCTTCCTTGAACCAGGCTTTGAGACGGTTTAAGAAAACACACCGTGATTTACAGAACAGACACCAGGAAGAGATGGTTCAAGAGAAAACAAATAATTTTAAAAAGTCTTGAAATTTTAAACATGTATTTTTAATTATAATTTTTTTTTTGTAGATATAAAAAATAAATTTTTTTAAAAATATTTTTTTCAGTCATCAGAGTGCTTTAAGAAAAAAAAATTGAAAAAAAATCTTCAATATTTATTAACCTTGTTTTTTTTTCCAGGATTGCGTAAAAATATATATTTAAGGTTTGCCGCCGGGTTGGAGAAAGAGAGCGGAGCAAGGTTGAACCCAGCATGAGAGAACTCAGTTCACAGCGGGACCCGGAGCAATACACCAAACTCACAACAACAGTGATATAATCCGATAGAAAACCCCCCACCATCTACACACACAGTACCTTACATGGTACGCATAATGGTTGCACTATACGCTTTCTTTTGCGTAATCTTGTTTAAATATGACCATTGCTACATTGTCTTGAAATTATCGTCGCATATTTACTTAGATAGAGTAAGAAATTATAACGTTTGGAAAATAAAAAAATGCTTTCTATTTTTTTCCATTTCTTCGAAAAGAATCTGAAAAACAAAATATAAAAACTTGTTTGTAAAAAGTTACCAAATTGAAAGAAAATAAGAATGTTTTATGTTAATGTCAATAATTTTCATCAAAGCTATTTTAAAGTTTAAAGAACTCGTTATTAGTATCTAATACAAAAATATTTAAAATAACCCCCCCCCCCCAGCTCAAATTCTTATAAAAGTAGTTGAAATATTTTTTTAATCCCTTCTGTTAAAATTAGTTCTTAGTATTAAATTTGAAGAAATGAAATATTTCACAAAATTTAACAAAATAAATTTTGTTAATTCTATTTAAAGATTTCCTATAAGATAGTTTTTTATACTTTTTATTATTAATTAATGCACAAGTGTATTAACTCTTTTCTTATAAAGGAATTGAGTCTTTGCCACAAACTCTGATTCTCCAATCCTTATATCTTTACAACTCAATGTTGTAGAGCTTAGATATTTCAAACTATGAATTATGTTAGATCAATTAATCTAAGTTTAGAATATCAAAAGTTTACACAACGAGGTTGCAAAGATAATGGGATTCAAAGAATTGAGTTAGTGTTAAACACTCAATTCCTTTGATTTGCTTTTAACAACAAAAAACGCCTTTCCCTCGTTTTTCTCAACGCCAAATTCACGAAAATTAAAAATAAACGCACAAAATTTCTTTGTTTGTGATTCAATTCACGATAATATATTTAAAAACAATCCTTGATCTTATTGACCTGTTAGATATAAATATTTATATGAGTTTGGTTCAAAAGATAGAAAGATAGAAATATAAATAAATACACCTATCGCCTAAACTTAAATCAGAACAAATAAAATGTGAAAGAAATGTGAAAGATAAAGTACACATGATAAAAGAAAATGAGTCAGTGTTTTTTGTTTTGTGAAAATTTTAATCATATTTTTTTCTAAAAAAGTTCTTGTTGACTTCCGCAATATTTTGGTCACCACTGCAAATAGACTTTACAGAGTGGAGATAATTCGTTACAAGTCATCTTGGCTAGGACTAGGAAATGTGAAGAAAAAAATCAAAAACTAAACTAATAAACAAATTATTAAAGTAGGTAAGAGGGCTGAAAATAGAAGGAAGAATGAGAAGAGAAGAGAATAAAGAGAAGGAAGGATGAGAAGAGAAGGAAGGATGAGAAGAGAAGGACGAATGAGAAGAGAAGGAAGGATGAGAAGAGAAGGAAGGATGAGAAGAGGTGGACGAATGAGAAGAGAAGGACGAATGAGAAGAGAAGTAAGGATAAGAAGAGAAGTAAGGATAAGAAGAGAAGTAAGGATAAGAAGAGAAGGAAGAATGAGAAGAGAAGAGATAAAAGAGAAGGAAGGATGAGAAGAGAAGAGATAAAAGAGAAGGAAGGATGAGAAGAGAAGGAAGGATAAAAGGAGAAGAGATAAAAGAGAAGGAAGGATTAGAAGAGAAGAGATAAAAGAGAAGGAAGGATGAGAAGAGAAGAGATAAAAGAGAAGGAAGGATGAGAAGAGAAGGAAGGATGAGAAGAGAAGAGATAAAAGAGAAAGAAGGATTAGAAGAGAAGGAAGAATGAGAAAAGAAGAGATAAAAGAGAAGGAAGGATGAGATTAGAAGAGATAAAAGAGAAGGAAGGATGAGAAGAGAAGAGATAAAAGAGAAGGAAGAATGAGAAGAGAAGGAAGAATGAGAAGAGAAGAGATAAAAGAGAAGGAAGGATGAGATTAGAAGAGATAAAAGAGAAGGAGGGATGAGAAGAGAAGAGATAAAAGAGAAGGAAGAATGAGAAGAGAAGGAAGAATGAGAAGAGAAGGAAGAATGAGGAGAGATGGTAGGAAGGAAGGATGGATGAGAGAATAAGGAAGAATGAGAGGAGGATGAGACGGGATGAGAAGAGAAGAAAGGAAGCATGATTAGGAAGGAAGGATGACTACATGATCAAAATTAACAAGATTTTAAATAAGCAATTTTCTTAATCATCCTTATGGTTAAACCTTCCTTTTGTGTAGAAATTCTTGCAAAATTAATTTCAAAAATGACAAGTCAGCGAACCCTATTGTTGTGTTTTATATGTTTAGATTATCTAGTTTAAGTTTATGCTTCCTGGAATATTTGTTAGGTTTCTACACTGCATCTAGTTAGAGGTGGGGGGCGTACTCAGGGGGCATAACAT